GTTATTTATTGCTTGTTATACTTCAAACTAATTTGACTGTACCAAATTTATTGTAAACTTAATAATGTGATGAATTAAGCCATGTTTCTCTTCAAGTTGAACCATAACATTTAATAAGTTTAAATTTACTATATTTTTCAATTTACCACCATATTAAGGTTGCAGACAATTTGTACGTTATTGTGGTTTCACACGCAACGAAATTTGTGTTCATCCAAGTCGCATTAACACGTGGAAAGGGTGGGGATCACACCTGACATCTCACTCTTCCAGGCCTTTGACTGTCTTATTGTGTAGTTTTAAAACTGAACGTGAAATCACAAATTCAATTAAAAAGAAAACCACGCTAGCGTATAACGACATATCTTGTAATGTTTTTTGTATATCTGATCCGCGATATTGTTTAAGTGTCATACATGAGTGACTTTCACGACATATGAGAAGAAAACGGGAACAACTGCATTGAAGAAACCTTTCTTTGCTAAAGAAAAGTGGCAAAATTTAATAATAGTTTATTTCATCTGTGTAATTTTTAATGGAAAGATTTGACCTCTTTAAAACTTAGGCGTTTCGTTTGAGCATTTAGCGTCTTCAGCATTAGTGAAGTGTCATTGCTGATTTAGTATTATCATAAACAACGTTCGTGAACAAAAATGTCTGCTGACCTAGTAAAACATAAAGATTTATATTTTTTCTTTCCTCTGTGGCATCATTGACATTTGTCTGAATACCGTTAAATAGAAAATCATTGACCTTGATCTTTCATCTTTTTTCTTTACGCTCTTAACCTCCATCACACAGGTGATTGGCAATGCGACAAAATTAAATGTAATACTCTGAATCGATTAGGCTTTTTTTATAACGTCATTTTTTTTTCTCATCGAGAAGTGTGTGAAATTTTTTTTGGTGAAGTTCTCCAGTAGCATCTTTTCTGAATGAAGTTCTCACAGAGCAGCTAGCTGTTCCTAAATGGTATTCCGCGAAACCTTAGGGTTCCGTGGAAGGGTGACAGAGGTTCCGAAAGTTAGGACTTTTTTTTTTTAGTCAATTATTAATTTTAAAACTTGGTATTAAATTTCAATCCAACTAATTATCCGTAATTAAATTTAATATCTTTGTTTTTCATGAAATAATTTAATTCAAAGCTATAAAATAGTTTAATTAAAAAAAAGTCGAAACAATGTTCTTTTCTCTAACAACAATTACTAAAAGAATATGAAAAATTGCATTAGTATTTCGCATCGAATAAAAATTACCTTATTTACCAATGAAGAAGTACCTACATATTTTTCTAATAACCATTCTCAGCTTTTATTTATTTATTTATTTTTAAATGAAAACATATTTTAGCTCATTCATTTTCACTCTATGCATGCACTAAATCAAATTAAGATCTAGACTAGACGTCGCTTTATAACCGGGAATTCAACTACCTGACATAAAACCCAATTTTTAGACTAATATTAAAAAACGATATGAAGAAAAAAATTTCCTTCTTCATTCCTTCACTAAATATTTTGAAAATAATTAATAAAACTTAGATCAGTACACAATTTTAGAGATAAATTATTGCATTTCGTTGATTAATATGTCCCACAATTGCTAATGAAATTTATTCATTAAGTCTCAGGGTTCCGCCAAAAGAAGGTCGATTATTTAGGGTTCCACGACTTAAAATGATTGGGAACCGCTGTTACAGAGCATAATTTTTATGCCGGCATTTGCTGAATTATGTTGTCTAGAAAATTTAAAGAGCTTATTGATTTATAAAAAATTGTTACAATTGAAGCAATATTGACCTTATTAATTGTAAGCAAACAATTAATAAAATCAATTTTTTGCGAATCGAAGAGTATCTGAAATTTTACATTGTAAAGTTTTGAACCTTCTCTGGATCTATAAAGCTCATAAACAACAAAATTTTGTTGTAATTGAACTAAAATATGTTTTCTAGTGATTTTTGATTTTAAGAAGTGCAGTTTTCTAATTGGTTTGTAAAAATTTTGAGTCAATTTTTTTTTTTTTTTTTTTTTTTGCTTATCGAAGAGGGTGTTAAAATTTTATATAGGGATGTTTTCGAGTTCAACATTTTATGGTGTTTCAAGCAGTATAATTTTACACGGACTTAAATAAAAAAAAAAAAGGCATTATAAGAAATTTTGTTTTTAAAGATCTTGATTCATGATTTATTTGTAAAAACTTTTTTCAGTTGGAAATATGTCAATTTTTTATTTATCGAAGAGTTTGTGGAATTTAACGCAGTGAAATTTTCAGATACATGTTTTATTATTGGATGTATGAAGTTATTAAACAGTATGATTTTATCATAATTGAACTAAAATATGTTTTCTAGAAATATTTGATTCTTAAAAGTTAAATTTGCTTATTTATTTCTAAAAACTTATTACACTTGAAAAGTCTATTTTTTGCTTTTATTAAGTTATGTGTAAAACTTTATATTGTGAATTTTTTGATTAGTACGCTTTCTGGACGAATTGAAGCTCTGTACAGCATAATTTTACACCAACTTAAACCGAATTTGAAAATCTAAATTTACTGATTAATTCATAAACACTTATTTCATTTGAATACTCGCAAAAACAATTTAGGTTTCAATCTGAAATTCATTTGAAATGAAAACATTAAGAAATCAATTTGAAAAAAAAAATTTATTTAGACAGTTCAGTTTTTGAAGTTACAGATATCAAACCTTAAAATTTATTATAAATCAGTAATTTCAAGATTGCGAGCATTGAGAATAGCATGGTATAAAAATGACCTAATTACGTTTTTGTTCGTTTAATAACTATTATATTTTAATATATAGCTGCGTTTGGAGCTAGGTGCTCGTTGCTAGATCGGAACTTTTTTTTTAGAGGTGGGAATCAAAATTCTTAAAAAGTAAATATTTGATATCCGATTTACTATAACGCGTTTTTAACTATTCTCAGAGTGAAAATAAAGAAGGAGTCGGGATATGTCAATTTCCTTATCTAATTTTTATCTAAATGTTTAAAAGAAATTCTAAATAAGGAAGAAAAAAAACATTATTAACTCTTTTTTTCTTTCTTTTTTTGTTGAAAAATTAGTCTTTCCTTTCTGTTGTTTGTTTATTGCCAAAAATCCTTTGGGAAATTATAAAATCTAAGATATTTTGTCCAACACTTAAAAAATGTATTTAACCAATATGTTAATGAAAACGTAAACTATACGTCTATTATAAAAACAATTTTTTACAACAGCTGAAAGCAAATTAAACAATTTTAGAATTTCCAAATACTAATGAGAAAAATTTAATATTGTACGTTAGAACAAAACATTTTTTGTTCATTCATTTGATATGGATATATTTTAAAAAGATATATTTCAAATAAATGTAAACTATACAGTTAATATATGCAGTTAAGTTAAATATATGCATTCACCTATTATCTGAGTTAGTTTGTTTGAAATTACGGAGACTTGTCCACTAGGATATGAATGAGCAATAGTTGTTCAGGAATAGTAGGAATTCAAGAAAACAGACTCACGTTATAGTCTGATAATGTATAGTTTGTGTAATAAATGTACAGTAACCAAAATAAAAAATGGAACACCTTAATAACGTTTGATCCAATGGTTAGATTTTCATGAACCGAGATGCACTCTTAATTATTTGAAGGACTAACCTTAAATCCTTGAGCAGACACTATTTTAAGTTACGGAAACAGACCACTTTGTATTACAAAGTCTACCATTTGCGAGGTTTATTAAATAAAAGAAATTAACTGTTTATTGAAATATAAAAAGTAAAGCATTCCAGCAACAGCACGTTGTGAGTCAGGGGTCATGGATGATAAAGCTCAACAATTTCGTAACCAACGGCATAATTGTGGCAATTTGGTCAGCACTGTGCACAGGCCGTCTTTACTTCCAAGATAAAACGGTATCCATTTATCTAAAGCTGGGTGGGCTTCAAACTTTACCCACTGAGCCATCGCGGTTCGTATTGAAATATAATTATATAGAAAAAAAAATGAACATTAAATGTAATTTTTATTTCTTTACATGTACAGGATATCATAATTAAGGTACAGGGTTATTTGGCATGGTATCTACTTTCTGATAAACATAACAATTGAATATCTGGGTTTGCTCAAATTTTCGCCCAACTTGATCGTACTTTCTTCAAGCATGTTAATTTTTATGTAATATAATGATGTTCTCTTTAATTTGTCTTCTTGTTGCATTTTTAAAAAAAATTTTTTAATGTTTTTTTCTTTTTTTTTATGGTCTAAAATCGAAAGTAAATGAGGATATTTGACGCTTAAACCTCTACTATTTATTATTTTTAAATGAATACTCTTACATAACTTTTATGAATAAATTTCAAATAAATTAAAACTCAAAATGCATGCATGTATTTTGAGTCTCTCTCTCTCTCTCTCTCTCTCTCTCTCTCTCTCNTATACATATATATATATATATAGTAAAACAACAAGACTTCATTATTTCGGCGGTATTTTTAATCGTCATTTCGCCGTCTTTGCAAATCAAGGCTAACACCCCCTTTCAAATTCTAAAAACTTGCTAATTCAAGGATAATTTCAAGGGGAAAAAATTTTACTAGCATTTTAAAATTTCAAATGATGAGCAAAAAATTTTTAACAAAAATATGATTTATATTTTTTTTCAGGCAATAATAAACAAATTTCATTAAAATATTGTTCTCTCAATGCATAATAAGAATTGCAAACATCATAACATAAAAAGTCTCTTTTATACATATACATAACAAAATTTAAAATAAAAATGTCTTAGATCAATTTCGTAGTAGAAATGAAAACAAAAATACCAATTAAAAATTCAAGAATACCTTTCAGAAAAACCAATAGATGTCTAATATAGCATATCAAAAACAATCGTAAGAATTTAAGTGAATCGATTCATTAGTCTTTATACATTTATCCTGTTTGTAATAAAAAACATTATCTTCTGTTTTATTAGCTCTTTCTTTCCAGATAGCAACTGTGGCTAGTCGGTCTTATAACAAAAGACGGCCGTATACGAATCCAATGCCTGAATGTGCAGCACAGCAAGTTTGTAATGCTGTATTTATGAGATTAAAATTTATTCAGCCACTATGTAAATGTCCTAATGGTATGAAAAATCCATGTTCTACACGAATGCATCCGAATGACGGCCATACAATCAATTTATTAGCTGATCGAGATGGACAGGTAAATATTTACTGACATTTCTAATGGTAAAGCAATTTTTGACATAAAAACATTTTATTTAATGTTACGATATAAAAACTTTGATATAAAACCTATCCAATTTTGGTGTTGAAAAACTCCAAAAATTCGATTTCGAGTTAAAACCGAATAAAGCGTTCATACACAATTTAAATGGTGCAGTTAAATCTTAACACCAATAATTGGTAAAGCTTACGTCGTTTCTAATTATTTCCTCCAATGGTTCTGATGGTTTGGGGTACCTTTGGAAACCATCAGACGACAACTTTAGATTGTTTACAATCCAAGGTAAACATTTGTTTTCGCTTTGCAAGATGCTGAACATTCCGCAGAAACAGAGCTGCTTTAAAAGGATTGTAGTTTTCAGTTGTATAATAAAGATAATTATGCTTTCAAAAGAAAGTGTACATAAAACTGTCAATTGTATTAAATAATTTTAAAATATTTTATTTCTATACACTTTGGTTTTTGTTAAGCTTTGTTCAAATTTCTATTAATATTCTCTTTGTTTTGAGTGAATGTTTGACTAAAACAATCTTCATTTAAGGAAATATTAAACACATGCATCTTAAATTAATGCTTCGTACTTTATATTGTATTGTAAAAATTACTGACTCTTTATGTATCATATCCAACTGTAACTAGAAATATTACTGTTATTGAATAACAAAAATGGTGACTGCTACTTACACCAAAAAAATGTAAAAGAACATTAATGGGGCTTCACTACACCAGGAACTATCCAGGGTTCTTGATATAGTTAATCCCCTAGATCCAAGAGTTATATATCACTACACCACTTTGATGTAGAGCAGTTGCCTCCATTTTTGCTGTAGAGATAAACTAAAACGTTTTACAGTGTGTGTAATGTTTTGTCAAATAACAGAACTTTGTAAATTTTAAAGGCAAAATAAGGTCTTAACCCTTTAACGCAGATGGGATACCAGTGTCCCTATTATAGATTTTTTTTTTCTGATACTCTAATTACAAGTAAAAATATATTATAGTATTGTTTAATTATAATAGACAGTTTAATATTTACTAAAACTTTTTTTGATTATCGGAACAATATTTGTACTAAAATATAAAATAAAAAAGTAATTAGGAATTTTTTTTGTCATATTCAAAAATTTATTATTAATTGATTTTGTAAATTAAAAAAATTTTACTGATGAATGACTGTTTTTCTTATAAATAAATGCAACTTTATAAATAAATGCAACTTTAAAAATTTTTTATTTGGAATATTTTACATTTAAAAACTTGTTAATTCAAGGATGACTTCAGAAAAAAAAAATTTTTCATTGGCCTGCATTTGAAAATTTCAAATAACGAGCAAAAGTTTTTTAACAAAAATGTGATTTATATATTTCTTTAAGGCAATATTAAACAAATTTTATTAAAACATTGTTCTCTCAGTGCATAGTAAAAATTGCGAACATCGTAACATAAAAAATCTCTTTTATACATATACATAACAAAATTTAAATTAAAGCTTTCTTAGATCAATATTAATAAATTATTTAAATCCTAAATTTAATATTTTTTAATTTAATGAAATAAAAGTTGTTTTGAACATAAAAACTCCTTCATAGATCATCATAAAGTGATGCACATTAAATCTGTCATGGTTGAATGTCCTCTCGTGGGTTGTGGTGCAAAAATTTGAAGAGAGGGGTATCAGCTCAGGTGCAGTCTACATAGTCTAATCAGAGTCAAAATGTCGCATTCCTACAATGGCTCAAAAAAAGATAGAGCCCTAAAAATGGTACTAGGTGCTTCGCCGTGATTAGATAAAGATGCTCCAAAGTAGCATTGAAAGTTGTATGCAATTTTAACTATTGAAATATATGATTCAAAAATTTTAAGATTGGCCTTCATATTTTATTATATTAGATGTGCTTTGATTTAAAAATGTGCAAATAACCAAATATTTACATGAATGAATTCTAAAAAATTATTATTTTTTTAATTTTGTTTCAGAAAACACAAACTTTAGTAAAAGTATGTGAAGAGGTAAATTTAGTAAGGCCTTGTAACGAACCTCACGACTGGATGCTTCTAGCCCTACAGAACATTAGAACGGGAAAAGCTCAGTATTTAGTTGTCTGCAAATGTCCTACTTTCGGAATAATGGAGGGTCCAGTTCTACATACACAACCACCCTATGCTCGAATTCCTGGTATAAGTGTGTATGGAATGTTGTGCATTCAGGGTCGTAAAAGCAGACTTCAGAAAGGAAGTGAGTAAATTTTCAAATATATTAAAAAAATTAATTTCAATCCAGAAATTGACTTTTTAGCACACAAAATATACAGTGAATTTGAATTTGTTAAGAGTTTAAGGGCACAAGAGCCAGAGGCGAATGTACTGCACCAAACATAATGTAGAAAATGAAAAACAAAATTAAATTAAAAAACACTAAAATTTAGAAGCAAATTTCTTCAAAAAAAAAAAAAATTACAAGTAAATTTTTTGTGCGGTTTGTTTTGGCCGTTTTAAGATCATTTCATTTTAGCAATTGGCTGTGATTCATCCTCGATGATGATTTTACGACAATGCGGCACATGCACAAACTACACTACCTCAATATTTAGATTAGAGGGCAGCATTCTTAGGCAAAAGGATCATTGGAGGACAGTATTACATTGGAAGCCACATTCTATAAATGGGTAAATTATTCCAAATATAAAACCATCAGGGACAATATATAAAAGAGGATTCTGAACCATCAAGACATGATCAAAAAAAGTACAGTCAACTTAGACATCCAGCCTTTAACAAAGAATGGTGAACCATTGCCCAAGATAAAGTAAACATCAGAACCCCAAGAACCGTTTTCTTTACATGGAGTTAACACTTAAATTTTTAAAAAAAATTATTTATGAATTAGGAATCTATTCTGAAGTAGGTACATAAAAAAAAATCAACAGAATAGCAATTTTGGAATAAATAAAGAGAAACTGTCATAAAAGCTATATGTAGTCATACTGTACAATATTTAAGGCAAAATTGTTAACAAAACATTTTAAAAATAGTATGTCTGATCTATAAAATAATATGTCTGGCATAAAATCAAGATAGAAAAACACAAGGTAACACACAATACACGGATAGGTCACTAATGCTATTTTTGGATTGTTGAAACTTATATTTACCAAATGAAAACACATTCCCATTTGAACGAATACAATTATAAACATTTATTACTTAAGTAATAAAAGTTCATCAATTTTTGAACAAAAAATTCAGGTTTAACAGAAAAAATTTAAGATAATATAAAGTTTTTCTAATTTTTATGAAGTTTTATATTTATTATTTATTGAAATCTTGAAGATAATCAATCCTTCAATAAACATTATTTAACTCCAGAAAAAATTGTAACAGGGTTCATTACATTATACAGTTACAGGATTTAAACTTATTTTCAGAAATAAAACTATCAGACTTCTCAAGAAAAAATTTAACAAAATTTCGGTTAAATTAAAATTATTCATAAATATTAATTCAAAATTAGTTTTTGAAATGAACAAAATATCAAATAATGAAAATATAGTGGAAAATTTTCACTGCTATACGGAATCTTGACAATGAATAATAATTTTAATAAATATCAGAACTACTTAATTTTAATAAACTTCAGAACTACTTACAGAACTAGTTATTATAGTGCCGAATTCTAAAATTGGTCATTTTCATGGTTTGTTGCAGAATTTTTCCGAGATTTGGGTAATGTAAACAAGTAGAAACTTTCTTATGAATACATTAGTAATTGCTCAAGTATAACAACAACAACAACAACAAAAAGCCAAATTCTTATTTTTGTCAAGAATTTGGAATAAATTTTGCAAATGCCATTCGACTACAGATCATGTATAAAATACTATCTGAAAAGAAATATAGTTGCCAAACTAAGCATGTCGAAGAAGTAAATATCAAAACGTAAAACTGTTTTGATCATAATGTTATGTTAAAAGTAAAATATCTTAATTAACAAGACAATTTTAAAATATGGTTGGATATGTGGAGTTAAAGAAACTATTCAGTAGCAAAAATAATTCAGTGAGATAAATTTTCTCAATGACTTAAAAGTAAAACGAAAAATATTGAAATAAAATAAAAACAGTTAGTAAGAAACATAATAATGCATAGAATTGCGAACAGTAATACTTCGTTTTTAAATTTCAGATTATCCACCGATACCATGGGACAAAGTTACAGAAGTTTATAACGCAACTGGACCAAGGGAAACACGATTTAAGAGAACTATTTTCAGATAGAACTATTTCAAGGCAAATATTTCCTAATCTGATTAGCTTCAACTTATATATATTATATTTATAAAAGTTGCATAAGGCAAAAGTGTCTGTTGGGGAGAATATTAACACATTAAGAATGAGGACTAAAAGAGGCTTTGTGTAAAAGTAAGAAAACTCTTAAGAAATTTTCTAAGTAATAAAATATCACCAAAATAGAAACAAAATTTACACGGTGAATTCAAAAGGCTGTTTATCTTCATTTACTGCACACCTGTCTAAATTGTAGTTGCTTTTTTTTAAAAAGAAAAATAATAATAATAAATATAGAGTGTATAACTAGCATTTTGATGATTAACAACCCAAAATTCAGCTTAGAGCTCACTCTGCTCCTGATCAGAAAAAGTTCCTATTATATGTGATCTGATCTATCATTACTTAGCTCTGTATAATTAATAGTAAAAGATTTAAATTTTTATAAAAATGGCAATATTAAAAATAAAGTAAAAGCTAAGCATACCCTTGAAATTTAGACATTCCTTTGAAATTTAGAATAACATGCTGTTTATTCAAATTGAAAAAAGAAAAACATTGGTTAGGGGATTGCAAAACTTCAACGAATAAAACTAGAAGCAAAAAAAAAAATTACTCCTCTTTCATTTTCTAAAATAATATTTTTTAAGTTCCATCGAACATAATACTATTAAAATGATCATAATATAATCAGCATAACATTAACTGCTTTAAAAACATTTTAACAAAATTTACAATACTGTACACATAAAAAGTGAAATGTTATTGCTAGAAAATAAAGTAAAAAGAATATGCGTGTAAACTAAAGAATGATCATCCTGTATATAGTACCATTAAGATTAACATAACTCTATTTATCAACAAACATGCACAAATACATGTCACATACATAAGCATTCTAGCACAAACACATTAAGATGCTATCATTTAATTTATTAACTATGCAATGATTCAAGTTCTCTGAGGAAAAGAGATATTAAAAAATATGAAAATGAGCATTCATTTTATTTATAAGTAGATTAGATTGCATAACTTTTTATTGTATTGATTGTCACTTGTCTTTTTCATTGATGTCATGTCTTTTCTAAATAAATTACGGTACATATTGCTTATTTTTTTATTTCTGAATATCCAGATTATACATTCATTACAAATACCTTTATATTACTTTTTAAAGTGAAAAAGTTAAATAAATTGAAGCAATTTTTAAAAAAAATGTTTCAATTAACTTAGATTTCTTTCTGAATTAAAGCAAGAGAAATTATCATTATCCAGCTAAACTGCATGTGTGCAATCTTCATTTGAATAAAATCAAGCACAGTGTTAAAAGTACTGGATGCAATTAAAAATTAATGCAGCTACGTTTTTACATCTTAAAAGGTAAGCATTCTCATAACAGCATTTTGTGGCCAAAGAAAGTCATAGAGAGATCTCTAAAATTTCATTATTAGCCGTATAATAGTGTCAATGTGTTCAGTATTACATACAAGCAACTTATATTTCCTAGAGTAACTAGCAGCCATGAATCTGAAGCTGAGTGGACTTAGAGCTGCCACTAAGAATCGAGCCCCAGTCGTTCACAATAACAACTCAGTGCCTTTAACCACTGAGCCATCATAGTTTGTCCAAATTTTAAAAGTAATTACTTTTTACCTAATTAATATGATTTTAAATAAGTAACCATATAAATTTATATGATTTTAAATTTAAAAAAAAGTTTATTTAGAAAATCTGAAAAAAATTAAATATACTTCAATTTATTTTTTAGAACTATTGACTTCTAGTCATGGCAATAAATTCCATAGATAAATTATCCTTTTAAAATTGAAATATTTAAGGGAAAGCATTATCTATGGCCATTTAAAAAATCAAGAACTTCTTAAACTTTTTCAGTGAGATCCATAAAACAATGTAAGATGAAAACAGAGTAAAAATGGATTTGAAGAAATCAAGTTATGCTCACATCAGATAGGTATATATATATATATATATAAGCTCACAGGACAAAAAATTATTCACCCTAGTGTGCAAGCACCAATGAATCATTAGGTTTCCTTAGATGACACAGTAGTCAAATGAAGTGCGCAACTGTGTACGCACTCCCTCAATGTGATCAAAGGCAAGTAGCCATATGTGAAATATTTTTGTTTTAAGCAGAAATTGTGTGCAAATATGGGTAAGTGTAAGGATGTGACAGAGTGGCAAAAAGGGGGAATTGTGCTTGGCTGTGCCGATAGTCATATGGGGAATGAAGTTGCTGGATTTGTTGGTGTTTCAATGAGGACTTTTCAACGTGTCTACAAGCAGTGATACAATACACGTTGTCATGAAAGACAACATCAGAATTGTAGCTGGAAAAAGATTATACATGAAAGAGACGGGAGACGTGTTTCATGACTTGTCAATCAAAATCACTTCCAAACCCGACAGGAATTGCTTCAGTTAGTAAATGAAGGTCCATCTCATCCTGTTAGGGAGAAAACATTGAGACGGGAGCTGCAGGCAAAGAACATTTAAAGTCAAACGCCTCATAAGAGGTCATTGCTCATACAATCATATAAAGCTTCGCGACTTCAGTGGGCTGGAAGTCACCGAACGTCAACAGTTGCTGATTGGCGGAATATAATATGATCTGACGAATCAGGATTTTGACTTTATTCAAATGACGCACGTCATCGAGTGCATGGAAGAACAGGTGAAGTATTTCATCCTGACTGTGTGCAAAGTTAGGTTCAAGACGGAGGTGAGTCTGCCATGTTTGGGGGTGTTTTTCTTATAATGTATTGGGTCTCCTCACAGAGGTAGCCACTAAAATGAACCAACATGTTTATTTGAACACTATGAATGATCAGGTGTTGCCTTTCAGTCAACATCTTCATGAAGAGTATGCAGTCGATACCCTTGTTTTTCAAGATGACAACAACAAGCATGTTTATCACCCTGGAAGAATATGTGACTGGTTTTATGAACACTCATACATTCAATTACATCTCGATTAGCCTGCAAAATCACCTGACTTGAACCCCATTGAAAATTTGTGGGACATGTTGGAACAACGGGTAACTGCCAAAATCAGCATCATGCAATTTGGTGGATTTGTAGGATCAAATCCTTAGCGAGTGGTTTAAACTAGATTCGACATACCTACAAAACCTTGTGGACTCACTTCCTAATCGAATCTAGGCGGTTACCAAATCCAGAGTTGGTGTTACACGTTATTAAATGATGTTTTTCATGATTTTTTTAAGGGTGACTAATTTCTTGTCTGGTGTGCTTATTAATATATAAATATATATATA